AATCAGGAATACGACATTTCAGGGACACTATACCTATTTTGAATCACCCTGTATGTTGGCGTGCAGAAGCATGCGGACTCGGGCCGCGTGCACAGCGACGAGCGATAAGCCGTAGGCCGCGGCGGAGCGGACGCTACGCGCTCGCTCGAAACTCCGCCTCGATAATGCGTCCCTCTCTATCGGTATCGCGATTTACAACAACGGGATTCACGATACAATGTTAATCTCTCTCTCTCTTTCTCTCGCTCCTCTTTGATAAACGATGCCGCAGATGCGAGCTGAATTTTTGCCTCCTCCCAATTTTGCTCGAGCCGAGGGTGAAAAAATTCCCAGAGCCGCGGAGATCGATGAACGCTCAGCGTTCGCGAAAGACGGACACCCGCGGTGTGCTTACGTAAGTTTCGTGAGATTCGAGGCACCGATATCTCGAGCTCGTCGCGGCGGTTGTTCCCGCGGCGCTGAAAGAAGGGAGATTCGCGAGCGAGCCGGCGATACTTTACAATGCATCGTTGTACTGACCCGATTACAACTTATCGCCTGCCGTAATGCGCCGCGAGATAACCGCTCGAACCGAATCGACTGCAGGCTACGGGACCGCGGGGGATTGGATCGCGCCTCGCCGCGAATTTCTAGCGGCGGCTTCCGCGCGAACGCGCGTGGCCGCGTCAGTTGCGTCCGTTTAGATTTTATCTCGGGATATCTCGTGCGAGATTGTCATCCGCGTAAACCCGCGGTGTCGCGCGGGTTTTACCTTGCGGAGGCGGCCAAAGTTTGTTGAGACTCAATTGGGGGAAGATGCCGTCTCGCGTGCCCTTTCGAGCTCGGTGAACCGCGCGCGCCGATCAGTCCCAGTCTACAATAGGATTTAAGTCCCGGGCCCTGAGAAATTGACCAATCACAGCCGAGTATTCGTCTCGCTTTCGATTGTGACTGGCATAGACTTCTGTATAAAGGAAAATCCTCTGTTATCGGATAAGCTCCTAGTATGAGATGGCAGGGTGTTTGCTAAATTAATAGGCATCGTCCATTGGTTTCCTCGTTAATTGTTGCTCTTGGAGCGAAATCTGTTTAGTGGAAAATTGATTGCTAGACCGTGCAATCGTGGTAAATAAAGATTTGTGATCGAACTTTGATGCTCAAAACCTGCTGTCTCACAATAGAGGACTTTCCTCCACTGCGGAACTCTTGCCTCACTTTTCAGCTCGAAGGTAGCGGTCTAGTAGTATATAGAAGTCTGTGGCGATTGGTCAATTTCTCAGGGCTCGGTGCTTAAATAATCTATTGCTGACTGGAACTTGGTCGTCGGTCTTAAAGCGCGGCCGTTTATCGGGACGGTGTATTTTAAATCGATTTGACTCGTTGATGCTAATATCCCTATTTAAATCGCTGCGAAGGATTTATTGCGAAAAACACACCTCGGCCTGGATTCGTACCTGGACCTCCCGCCGGTCCGCGACGGCTGTTTTTACCAAGTGGACCACTGAGGCATGTGCCGTGGTGATAAAAGTTTGGGCATCAACGAAAAAGAGCTCCTCTATCGATCTCCCCCACGATAATGTTTCTCATTATTTACGTAACGATCCAGCAAAACATACACGTATTTGATTTCACTTTTGAAAAACACACGCCCCAACGTGCGCAGAGCGAACCCTGTTTGGGCCCGAGAGGGTGCGGTCCTATTCCGTAAAAAAAAAAGGGAGAGAAAAAAACGTGACGGGGCGCAGGGATCGTTATCGCCAAG